AATCCGGCGGCAAAGAAAAGTTTTTGAAAAAGGAGAATTGTTGAAAAAGTGGGAATTTGGGTCAAAAGGTAATAATTTGTGAAATTTGGGGTCAAATTGAGATTAAATTAAGTTAAGGATGAAATTGGAGCATATTAAATTATACTCCAGTGAAAAGTCAAAATTGAATTTTTGTGGTCAAAATTGAACTTTTATGGACAAAATTGATTAATTTGGATTACAATTAAGAATTGGGTATAAATGGTTGAGGGTAATATTGGGATATACATGAATGTTTCCTTTAGTTATAATGAATATTAAAGGGATGGGCTTATTGGTGAAAGAGATATGTCCCCTATACCTAGAATAATAAACATGCTTGGTTGGGGACTTTTGCATAAAAATCCCTTATTATTATAGATAGGCATCTATTTAAATTTTAGAGTTATGGGTACATCAATTAACATATGATTAATTGCTTTTGATCATATGACCTTAATGTAGGATCAAATATCGGGTCAAACCTTGTCCAGTTGAAAGGTCAAGTCTAACCAATGATTTTATTTAAAAATAATAAATCTGAAAAATGGGGTTTGGATTAGATTTTCAATTTTTTTTTTGAAAATTAGGATGATTTGTTCGACCCTACACCAGGTGATAAACATTGGGTGAGTTTTCTGCTGTCACGTGTCTCTTTTTTGTATTTTATAATAGATTCCCGCTAGGGTTTACCTTTATGGATTTTAGAAAAATGAAAAAAAGAACACGTGTCAGCAGAAGATCCACCCGGTCTTTATCACCGAGTGTAGGGTCGAAGGAACCAAATTAGGATTTAATTTTGATTAATTATAATTAATACTCTGTTAATTAATAATTTCTCTTTAATAATAATTTTTTTATCAGCATCCACTTTGGGATGATACGATAAATATTAATTCTCTAAATTTATAAAATAATAGATTTACGATAATGATACAATTATTGCCATATTATTGTAAATTAAAGTCATTTTGATAAGATTATATTATTTTATTCCTTAATAATACGAAAATTTTATTTTATTTTAAATACTATTATATGATATGAAGCTTTAAAAAGATAAAATAAAAACATAGTGAAATTTGCATGGAAAATTTAATATCACTATAATTTAAGGGTTAAATACAAAAACACCCATGTACTATGGAGTTTGTATCAAATACCCCCCTGTACTACACATAAATACAAAAACCCCCTCACATTACATTTTTTTCAAAATATGACGAAAATACCCCTGCTTAGCCTATAAATTAAATGGTTTGTTTGAGTCATTT